GGGTGGAACAAGCCTGCCTTTTAGTTACACAAAGCCACAGGTTTTCATTGTGCACCATTACAACCTTCTAGCTGCCGGTGTCCTGAAAACCAATGACATCATCAGTTGATAAGGAGGATGTCGGTTGTCTGCACAGCATCCTAGTTTGAACCTCTCCCAAGCTAGCCAAAAATATATGGGTACCATAAAGCTGTCCATACACCTCTCCATCAGTGCTGGGATCACATTAGCTCAGTGATAGAGAAAAACTGAGGGAGAAGAGAAATACTAGAATACTAGTCAGTACCAGTGTGCAAAAGTCTATTTGCTTTGGAAGAATAAATCACCTCTAACATTGAGTGTTTTACGTGTGTTGATGCTGCTACATTGTACAAAACTATTAGAATAGTTTTGTACATTTTAGAATGGGGTGCCTCAAGACTGTGCATCATTTTAAAGGGCGCCTCTGGCAGGACTGTCCGTAATTGTAGAGGGTGCCTTGAAATTGTCCTTAATTTTAAAGGATGCCTTGACTGGCAAAAGGCTGAAAAACACTGTTCTAGACACATTGTTTTAACACATTTGTGATTTTATTCAAGTAGCTGGTTTGAATGGCATTTTTAAGGGCTTCCTAATTAATTTAGCTGACTTAATGATGGCAAAAGCGAATGCCCTGACAATTCAGAATTTCTGTACGAGTGTTCAAATTAAATTCTACTGGTATATGTCCAGCTTAGGAGTTTGCTGGGTAATAGTAGTTTATTTATTTATTACAGGTACTTATATAGCACTGTCAATTTACGCAGCGCTTTACATATATATATTTAGTACAATCACATCAATCCCTAACCCTCAAGGGGCGTACAATCTAAGGTCCCTAACTCACATTCATACATACACATACAATTTAGACAGGAGCCAATTAACCTACCATCATGTCTTTGAAGTGTGGTAGGAAACCGGAGTACCCGGAGGAAACCCACGCAGGCACAGGGAGAACATGCAAACTCCAGGCAGGTGGTGCCATGGTTGGTTCACAGGTAACTGTCTAATTCATTAAACCACCCTAAAGCTCTATGCAAACTGGCATTTAGCCCCAGTGCATGTGTTTCCGGTCCCGGCCCTAAACAAACACACCGCCCAGTGCATTATCCAGCCCTGTCCAGCCACAGAACCTGTCAGGCTCTCATAGAGTTTAACAGGCTACTGACAGAGGGCTGGACGGGGCACCTTCCCCTCCCCCCCCCCTTCCCCATGGCTAAACACCGAAAACCGTAAATGCCCAGTGTGCATGGGCCTAAATCAACATGACCTTTTTTCACAGCTTTGAAAATGGAAGCAGAATTTGAAAACATTGGTTATCTTACTGTCCTCTTTTACTCCCAAACCTACACTGTTTCACATCCTTTCATACTGTAGCTGTATATACGGGGGCTCTTCAATAAGTTTCCACAATATATATATATATATATATATATATATATATATATATATATATATGTATAAAAGTGTGGAAACTTTTTGAAGAGCCCCCGTATATTTAGTGTTCTTTCCTGCAGGATCTGAGTGCATTTTTACAGTTAAATACATCATTCTGTGCTATACTACCTAAATGAAAGAATACTAGTTGTTATATGTTTTGACGTAATATTTAAGAATGTACCTGTGTTTCTAGTGGCACCTTTCCATTATTATATGTTGTAATATTAAAATGTGTTTTGTTTCGGATTCATTTGTTAAGTTAATCATTTTGCTTTATCATATTCTTTGTTAGATTGATTCGTTTTCTGAATTTTGTATATTTGGATTTGTTTCATATATTCCTTCTATTCTATTCTATTCCAATGCATTCTATTTTTTTTCTATTCTTTTATGTTCTATTCCTTTATATACTATTCTGTTTTATACTAGTGTATTCAGTTAATTTCTGCTCTATGCTATTCTGTTTTATTCTATTCTATTTTATTTTCTGTTCTATTCTATTGTTTTATTCTATTCTACTCTGTTCTATTCTGTTTTAGTCTATTCTATTCTATCTCATTCTATTCTGTTTTATTCTATTTCATTCTATTGTATTATTTTCTATTATATTCTAAAAAGCAGCCTAAGTCGGAATTATGATCCTATTTCACTTTTATGCCTTATTGTACTTATTACAATATGTTTCCATTTTGATTCATTGATCAAAACAAATCGCATCATGTCTAGTATCCTGACTTGCATTGTGAGAAATAGCACTCTAGAACTTAGCACAGACCAAAGTATTTAATGATCAAATATAGCGGCCAACGTGCACCTGCAAAATTACAGCATAATACATGAACACACATTGAAAAGTTTCTATACATCAGGAGTACTGAATTAAAACTCACGGAGGTCTGACCAATAAACTTTTCTGGAGGTCCAAACCGCATTTTGTTTTCAGCCCTCTCCTACATTACAATCCCTGTACTTCAGTGCCCCCCCTCACACACACGCACACACACACACACACGTCACAGTCCCTCAATTCCCATCAGTGTCATCCAGGCCCCCTGCACATCACAACCCCCCCCAACAGTAGAGTTCTCTGCCCTTTTCATATCAACCCCTCCCCCCCCACACACACAGCACTGCCCCCTTCACACCCCACCCCAGTAGTAAACTCTGCCCTTGTCAGATCAACCCCACCCCCCACATTCCTACCCCACAGTACTGTCTTCTGCCCCTTCACATCCCCCCACCACAACACTACCCTCCCTTTACATCTCCCCCTCCACCGCATTGCTCCCCTCCCTGCATCACAAATCCCCCCCAACAGTAGTGTTTCCCTGTCCTCCTCACATCAACCCCCCCACAGTACTGTCTTCTGCCCCTTCACATCCCCCCACCACAACACTACTCCCCCCTTTACATCCCCCCACCACAAACACCCCCCCCTTACATCACCCCTTCACAGCACTGCCCCCTTTACATCACGCCCCCCACCATCACCACATGACACAGCACTGCCCCTCTTCACATTTTTGCCCCCCTTTGCATCACACACACAGCCAGAGTCGTGTCCCTGGCCCCCTTTCACTCTCTTACCTAAGGCTACATTCACACTAGCGTTGTGTGCAGGCGGCAGAGAGGCATTTGGGAAGCGTTTTTACCGCTTCCCAAACGCCTCTGCCAATTCTGCACATTACAGCACATGGTGCTGTTCTAACAGGAGCGTTTGCGTCGCGGCAAAACGGACGCCTCTGGTCGAGTCAGGAGGCGTTGACGCCTCCTATTCTAGTCTATGGTGCGGCTCCGCAAATGCCCGGCCGGCGTTTGCGGTGCGGTTGCGACGCGGTTGCGGGGCGTTTTCGGAGTGGTAACACCATTCAAACTGCATTATAGGCATTTGTGGGGCGTTTTTAACGCTCGGCAAACGCCTAGCAACCATTCTAAACCGTGCATGTGGCGTTTGCGGATCGTTTGCCGAGCGTTAAAAAAACGCTCCACAAACGCTGGACCAAGGCTTGCCAAATGCTATAGGGGTGTTTGGCAAGTGTTGGTAAAACAGCCAAGTGTGAACGAGCCCTTACAGGGGAGAGCAGGAGGTGAAGCATTTCGGGATCTGGTGTGGGAAGCACAGCATATCATTGAACAGAGCTGCTTCTTTCCGCTCATCCTTTGCCGCTGTTATAACCAGCAGAGCGGACAGCAGGATACAGGAGCGAGTGTGGAATAACAGCACAGTATTGAACAGATCGCAGGAGCGGGAGCTGACATAATAGTTCTGGATCGGATGCAGGAAGCACAGCATTGAATAAAGTGTGGGAGCTGCGGGAGTCACACTTTTTGTATTTACCAGCAGATGATTGGCTGATAGGACTGCCTTGCTTCCAATCAGCCGCTGGTTAACTTGAAAAGTTCCTGCGCTCTATTCAATGCTGTGCTGTGCCTCCCGCATCCGATCCAGAAATCTTATGACGGCTCCCTCTCCTGCGATCTGTTCAATTCTGTGCTGTTATTCCACACTCGCTCCAGAAATGTTCTGTCTCCTGCCGTCTGCTCTGCTGTTATAACAGTGGTGGAGGATGGGGGGAACCAGGTCCAACTGACCTCCTTTTTTAAATGTTTTTCTGAAACAAATGTAAAGACTACACCTGCCCTTTGAGGTTCCCTTCAGTTTTTTTTTTACTAGAATGCAAGATAACAACTACAAATGGAACTAAACTCGGCTATACTACCCTCTTCCAAAAACATTAGCCTCCTTGCCAACACTTCCGTCTTTACCCAGTCTTCTTCTGGGTTCGACATCTCCAGCCATATTGATTGACAGTCTTTGGATGTGGTAACTGTTGAACATGAGCACAGATCTAGCTTATCTCACCACTAAGGCATATCTACAATATACACTGAGAACATTGCTTTTGATACTTTTACTGCAGAAGAGTCTCTAATGCAAAAATAGCTTGCCTGCCTTCATTAATTCATGTAATGTCATTTTAGATTCTTAGATCTCAGTGGTTCCATGGAAAGAACTTTTGAATGTTCTATTTGACAGAACCAGCTTTCACACAACATGCAAATTAATATATATTCTCCTCTCATACAGAATGCACATCCACTATTCAGTGCACACCAAGGAAAATTGTTGGGCAAACATCCTACATATAAAAAAGCCAGTTGAGGTGTTTTTATATTTCTACACAGTAGGGAAAACTAAACAACCAAAATTCATAGAAGCTGCTTAAAAAGTCTGATGGTCAGTTCTCTCTTCATAAAAGTACTATGCTCCATGTACTAAAAGACACCAACAGAGGTTGCAGCAGAACCTTTCAGTAAAACAAGCCATGACACATGATGTGTGCTGATATTATTACATTATTCAGGACTACCCCACTCCTTTATCGGGGTCCAACAGGATTGGCAACAACAACTTTCTAACAGTCTTACGTTCTACTTTATATAGCCTAAAATGAAGTTAATCCTTAGTCCACAATATATCCCCACAGGGCAACTAGCCCTGTACTTCTCATGATATATTTTGCATCTGTCTTCCCTAGGTATGAAGATGAGTTTAATCTACGCACAGACATGGAGTATGCATTTGTAGAACTGAAGAAGGTAAGAGTGGTGTCATGTATCTAATAAATGTTTTGTTATAACAAAAGTGCTTCAAACCTTATGTAAAGAATATGTAAATCCAATATTTCTGATATGTGCTTGCTGTACCATGTACTTGTATGAAATGCAGGCCATAGATGGGGAGAAAAACGGCAGATTTTCGGCCGATTAACGAACTATCGGTCGGTCTAAAAAACTTACCTGACCACCAATTATTACGAAAATCGGCCGATTAATGAGTAACCTATAACGGGAAATGATGTCATTTTGTGGCCTTTGTGATCCTTTTTCGGAAAACGATCGTTCGTTTTTGACCATCAATGAGGATAAAGTCGGGCGTTTTTTCGAAAATTTTCCAACATCACCGATAATCTGAAAGTCCAAAATACACGAAAAACGGCCGACAAAATCGTCCACTAACGATAAGATAATCGGCCGGTTTTATTTTCGGACGAAAAATCGGCCGTTTTTTTCTCTCCATCTATGGCCTGCAAAAAAGTATCCTGTTCTCTTTGTATTGTTTCCTTTGTGTGAAATCCCTGGTGTTCCTGACAGTCCCTCTGCGTTTCTATTAAAAACTGACCACACTAAGCGGGAGAACACAACATGGTGAGTTCTCTAGCTGTGCTGGATACTCCGCCTTCTCTCTTCCAATGATCAGACACACACACCCTGCACAGCCATTCAATGGGACATTCAGTGTGCTGCTGTTTTCTCCTACCCTAGCTCTTGTGCAGCTGAGAATAGAGGGAATGTGATCAATAATGTATATAAAAAAAGGGAAACAAGTGTTTATAATTTTATATCTATACACAAATATTTTGCCTTTCAATTATATTAAGGCCTGTGAGGTAAAAGAGAGTATCCAGCACAAGTCAGCTCATCCAAAACTTATTTTATTAGCTCAGCATAGAAACACTCAGGACATTCTCTAACTTGTTTCAGCCTGCTAGGGCCTTACTTGTAGCTCCTAATGAAAGACGTTTTTACATTGGGCACTTACATCTTGGAGAGGATGACTGTATCTGTGCCATGTGCTGTGAAAGGGTGGAGCAAGTGCAGTAGAAGGTGGTCTGTGTGTCATTCTTTTTCTTAAAGTGTTGCTAAACCCAGGACCCTGCATTCACTATATCTGGTCTCCCACAGTACAGACAACATGGAAATGCAATTATTTTAGTAAATATTAACTGCTAAATACCTTTTCTCATCAGCAGTTAGAGCAGTCTTGTGACTTCTATCAGTGTTCAGTAGAGCATAGTTACATAGTTAGTCTGGCTGAAAAAAAGACAAAAGTCCATCCAGTTCAAGCATTAAAAAAAAAAAAAGTTATAATCCTACACCCACAGTTGATCCAGAGAAAGGCAAAAAACCCAGCATGATCCAATTTGCTCCTGCTGAGAAAAAAAATTCCTTCCTGATCCCCCCAAGAGGCAATGGGATATTCCCTGGATTAACTTTACCTATAAATGTTAGTATCCAGTTATATTCTGTGTATCCAAGACAGAATCCAGGACTTTTTTAAAGCAATCCACTGAGCTGGCCACAACCAACTCTTGAGGGAGCACTGGTTAAAGCTTGGAGGAGTTTTCTTTCTGCTCTAGGAGGATGCAAAACCCTTGACCTCTGTCTGGACAGTGCTGATTGGCCCTGTGCTGTTCACATGCACTCTCCCAAGAAAAAAAAACACCTCTCTAGCAGTACACACTAAACTGAGCATGTGAAGAATGTCTACAGGCTCAGTCTGTCTTATCAGGAGATAAGACGTGGACATTTGAACAAGAGGAGGGACAGAGAAAACAGGATCAAAAGGCCTTTTTACACAATGCAGAGGATTAACCCCTTAGGTTCCATAATGAGTATAACAAGCATGATTTACTGCATATACAGACTGTTTTTACTGTTGTGGGTTTTTAGTAACACTTTAAGGTCAGGGAGGGCTGTTCACAGCAAACGGTCTGATTAGAGTGAATGTATAGGATTATTTTCCTAAAGTTTCCATCTGATTGGTTGCTTTGGTCAATATCTCATGTTACCTTTGCCAACTTTAACCAGGGGAAAATTATTAAAAATCACAGGTATAAAACTACCTCATACACAGTAATCTCCAAATCTGACATATCTGGAGAGTCTATGTAGCTGCAACCCGCCCACTTTGAGCAGAGAACAAGTGCTACTACTAATAACAGAAAAAGCAGAAAGCGAAGGCCAAACAGAGCAGCAATTGACAACCAAGCTGACAGTCTGCATTGGCATACAACACATATGAAGGATATGTCATCCTATTACACTGCCAATACTATTGCAGTATTGTATTAATCCAGACAAAGCTGTAAAACTTGAATAACCGGTCACTGGCAGCATATGGGCTGTCTTAATACCAGAAAACCTTTACACAGTGTAGCCAATGTACAAATTATAGGGACATAGGGAGGAACTGGCACAAACTGATCTTTTGTTCCCAGTTTATTTTCTCAAGCCATTTAAAACTAGTCCCCCAGTAATTTTACTAGAGATCTTTTAACCCTATAAAAGGAGCTGAAACTCATTAAAATGTTACAACTAGACCCAAAGAGTTTTGTAGTTTATCATCTCCCTGCATGAGGAGCCTGAGATTTATTTTATCTATTTATTTCAGGTACTTACAGTTGTGTTCAAAATAATAGCAGTGTGTTGAAAAAAGTGAATAAAGCTCAAAATCCTTCTAATAGCTTTTATTTCCATACACACAAATGCATTGGGAACACTACACATTCTATTCCAAATCAAAACATGAAGAAAAATATATCAAATTTGTGTTGTTCCTCTAAAAAAAATTGTAGAAAAGTGAATATTAGACTGTTCAAAAAAATAGCAGTGTTTGTATTCTTCTTTACAAACTCAAACATTCACTATATAAACTGAAAAATGTTTGAAGATTTTGCTTTCCTTTGAATCACTTAATGAATATTTAGTTGTATAAGCACTGTTTCTGAGAACTGCTGTACATCTGTGTTACATGGAGTCACCCAACTTCTGGCACCTGTGAACAGGTATTCCAGCCCAGGATGATTGGACTACATTCCACAGTTCTTCTCTAATTCTTGGTTTTGCCTCAGAAACTGCATTTTTGATGTCACCCCACAAGTTTTCTATTGGATTAAGATTCGGGGATTGGGCTGCCCACTCCATAACGTCAATCTTGTTGGTCTGGAACCAAGATGTTGCACGTTTACTGGTGTGTTTGGGGTCGTTGTCTTGTTGGAACACCCATTTCAAGGGCATTTCCTCTTCAGGATAAGGCAGCATGACCTCTTCAAGTATTCTGATGTATTCAAACTGATCCATGATCCCTGGTATGCGATAAATAGGCCCAACACCGTAGTATGAGAAACATCCCCATATCATGATGCTTGCACAACCATGCTTCACTGTCTTCACAGTGTACTGTGGCTTGAATTCAGTGTTTGGGGGTCATCTGACAAACTGTCTCCAGCCACTAGACCCAAAAAGAACAATCTTACTTTCATCAGTCCACAAAATGTTGCGTCATTTCTCTTTAGGCCAGTCAATGTGCTCTTTGGCAAATTGTAACCGCTTCAGCACATGTCTTTTTTTCAACAGTGGGACTTTGCGGGGGCTTCTTGCAGATAGCTTGGCTTCACATAGGCGTCTTCTAATTGTAGCAGTACTCACAGGTAACTTTAGACCTTCTTTGATCTTCCTGGAGCTGATTGTTGGCTGAGTCCTTGCCATTTTGGCTATTCTTCTATCCATTCGAATGGTAGTTTTTCGCTTTCTTCCACGTCTTTGGAGTGTGGGAGGAAACCGGAGTACCCAGAGGAAACCCACACAGGTACAGGGAGAACATGCAAACTCCAGGCAGGTGGTGCCGTGGTTGGGATTCGAACCAACGACCCTAGTACTGCCAGGCAGAAGTGCTAACCATTTAGCCGCTGTGCTGCCCATTGATGAAGGTGATGAAGGTGACCTTTTGCATAATTTCCATCCGAGCACCCGTGGAAACTAAGACAGCTACTGAAAAGGCAATGAAAAGGCATGAGTGTCAAGGTGCAAGATCCGGTGAATGGAGTATTAGATGTATAGAAGTATTAGAAGTACAGCACTGATTGGAGTCAGTAACAGATAAGAAGTGAAGCCCCAAATTGTAAACCGAATCAAGGCCGGGAACACACAAAAGTCAGCAATGTGCAAAGTCAGTGAGCACAATCTTGGTCAGAAGTCTAGGCTGAAATCAGTAACGGAGGTAATCAGCTACCAATGGCAGACAAGGAAAATCCAAGGCCAGGCCAGACAGAAGCCAGGACAAAGGTCAGGCACACGTTCAGGATCAAAGATTAGGGGTCACAGGGATATAGCTGAAAAACCATGTAGCAGTGAACCTAGGCAGGACTCTGAAATCTGAAGTTTATTCTGTTTATTTTTTGTCTTCCCTTCTATCACCTCCTAATCCATATGCCAATGACATGGTTAAAAAAAAACATTTCCAATTTAAATATATACCCGATATAAGACCCAGTGATGTCATCACTGGGTCTCTGTTCATCTCTTGGCTTTGCAGGCAGATCATGGATGACGGGAGGACCGTCAGGTTGTTGTACATAGCTTCCTAAAACATCACTGCACCCTGTCTCAATTTTCCTTTTAGAAACCCTCAGCACTTATACAAGCAGCAGATTGACTCTTGGGATAAATTGTACAAATATCATAATGCTTTGATGGGTAGATTAAAGGATATGTTCACCTTCAGAAGCATGTTACATGTTCCACCCATTTTTAAGGTAGAACATGTAACATGTTTCCAATGCTGCAGCTCTCAGCCTCAATCTCCTCCTCCCTGTGACAAAGGGCTGGGGATCTTCTCCTCGCACCTCCAGTCACAATTTAAAAAAACACAAGGCTGTGCAGGGTTCCGCCCACCTGGTTGTGTCATTCATTCACAGAGTTCTGTGAATGGGAGAACTACAACTACCGTCAGCCTTTGTGGCTGACAGCTCATAGTT